CCAATGCAACGACGCTATTCTTCAGTAAGTTGCAAGCAAGTCTCCAGCGGGAGCGCGACTCCAGAGCGCCGGGAGAGCGATTCCTGCATAAACTGTCAGGAAATCCGAAGCGAGAGCGCGATTCCTGAATAAAATGCAAGGAAGTCTCGGGTGGGAGCGGAGGTCCTGGTAAATTGCGAGGGAGTCTCAAGCGGCAGCCGTTGTTGTTGTTGTAGCCCCGAGGCCAACGACACAGTTTGACCCTCAAGAATTTCCCTTATACAAAGAAAACAAGGTGCGAGCCCTGGGAAACGCACTTCAATCGGAAAAACAATGTGCACCGGACGGGGGGGATAAACAATACTTATTCTTCAGGAATGAAAATTACACAACAACAACAATCAATTTAAGACTGTTCGCCCTTATCTGCTCGAGTGTCCAATGACGCGTATTTCCCAAACCCTCGATACCCGCCCTTTTCGTCTTCGATCGAACTCCTTTTGGGGGGTATACCTTTCTTCCCTGCAGGCCGGGCCCCGGCAAGCGGCGGGTCGGCCGCGGACCGTCGGCCTGGCCAGCGGCAGCGCTGATCGGCGGGGCGGCCGCGGACCGTGGACCCGACCCCAAGGCGGACGGACAGGGGACCGACCACGACGACGACGACGTCGACGACGACGACGGCGACGACGACGACGGCAACGACGAGCGAAAGCGAGAGCGAGACAAAACGACAGCAGGGCCACAAAGACACGAAGTAGGCAACGAAAGAAGACAGCGGGGACACAAAGGGAATGCGTATGGGGCAACGAAGAGCGCAAACGAGCGGGGGCCACGAAGGGCAGATCATGCGGGGCCACAGAAGGCAACGATGGGGCCACTGAGGGTAGCAACTGGGCCACGTAGGACAGTGAGGGGGCCACGAAGGGCGACAGCGGGGCCACGAAGGGCATGCAGATGGGGCCACAAAGGGCGCGAACGACCGGGAACCACGAAGGGCATACGTATACTGGGCCGCGGAGGGCAAGAACGGGGCCACTGATGGCAGCAATGGGGCCACGAAGGGCAGCGAGGGGGCCACGAAGGGCGACAGCGGGGCCACGAAGGGCATGCAGATGGGGCCACCACGGGCGCGAACGAGCGGGGGCCACGAAGGGCACACATGTATGGGGCCACGAAGGGCATGCACATGGGGCCACGAAGGGATGCAACGGGGTCACGAAGGGCAGCGAGGGGGCCACGAAGGATTGCAACGGGGCCACGAAGGGCTGCGACGGGGCCACGAAGGGCAGCGAGAGGGCCACGAAGGGCTGCAACGGGGCCACGAAACAAAGCGAGGGCGCCACGAAGGGTTGCAACGGCGCCGCGGAGGGCAGCGACGAGGCAACGAAGGACTGCAACGGGGCCACGACACAAAGCGAGGGCGCCACGAAGGGCTGCAACGGGGGGCCACGAAACAAAGCGAGGGGACCACGAAACAAAGCGAGGGGGCCACGAAGGGCTGCAACGGGGCCACGAAGGGCAGCGAGATCCCGATTCCTGGGGAATCTGTGAGGGAGTCCTAAGCGTGAGCGCGACTCCTGGGTGCCTGGGTATCGGGAGCGCGGCGCTTGAGTAAATTGAAAAAAGTTTCCAACGCAATGGCGATATTCTTCAATAGGTTGCAAGCAAATCTCCAGCGACAACGCGATTCCTGAATAATGTGCGAGGAAGTCTCGGGCGGGAGCGGGGGTCCTGGGTAAATTGTCAGGACGTCTCAAGCGGGAGCCGTTGTTGTTGTAACCTGGGGGCCAGGGGCACAGTTTGAGCCGCTAGACTTTCCCGTATAAAAAAACAGGTTGCGAGCGTCGAAAACCGCATTTTGATGGAAGAAAAATGTGCACCGGTGGGTGGGGGCCAACAGTAATTATTCTTCAGAAGTGAGAGTTCATGAGCAACAAAAACAACAAAAGTTCCAAAACTGTTTGCTCTTCCTGCCGCGCGTCATTCAATATGCGTATCCCAAATACTGGATACCCGCCCTCTTCGTCTTCGATCGTGCCCTCTTTGGGGGGTATATTTCATTCCATGCCACGCGTGGTTGGTGAAGCCTTTGAAAACGAAGGGTAACAGATACAGAGGATAATGAGGACGAAGGGATCGGAGGAAGGGACGGGAGGGACAAAAAGGAGGGAGGACGATGATGTGCGCTGCGAGTGGCGATTCAGCTTGCGACACGGCTTGCGCCAGCCACTCCAACACAGGTTCCCAACAAGTTTCGCCATGGGTCGCGCCATAAACAACGCCACGTACCACCCCCTTGAAATAGCACATCGTGGATATCCCCACAGGGGGGGGCGTACAGCTGCGAACTGGTGTCAGAAACAACGGCCGTGGAACCCTGAAAAGAAGGGGGGATATTGGGAGAGCGGGGCGGAAAGATAGTGAGAACTGCAACCGTGTCAAAACGAGCGCGGGGATGTGGAGTGGATTGGGATGGAGTGGACAAGAGAGGGGGCCACGAAGGGCGACAGCGGGGCCACGAAGGGCATGCGTATGGGACCACGACGGGCGCGAACGAGCGGCGGCCACGAAGGGCATTCGTATATGGGGCCACAAAGGGCGACAGCGGGGACACTGAGGGTAGCAAAGGGGCCACGAAGGGCAGCGAGAGGGCCACGAAGGGCGACGGCGGGGCTACGAAGGGCACGCGTATGAGGCCACGACGAGCGACTGCGAGCGGGGGCCACGAAGGGCATATAATGCGGGGCCACAATGGGCAGCGACGGGGCCACTGAGGGCAGCAACGGTGCCACGAAGGGCAGCGAGCGAAAGCGACCGCGGAACCAGTACGGGCAGCGAGGGGCATCGAAGGCGGGCGAAGGGCAGCGAACGGCGACTGCAGTCCCTAACGGGCTGGTCGGGCGGGCAGGCCCAGACGGGCGGGTCGAGCGGGCGGGTCGTTGAAGTGTGTAAATTCAGCTTGAACCGCCAGGCATTATGTAGCGGGAATGCGATTCCTGAGTGTCGAAGAGCGGCATCTGAATACATTGCAAGGAAATATCAGGCGGGAGCCGCGATTCGGTGGTAAGTTGCGACGAAGTCCCAAGCGAAAGCGCGATTCTTCTATATTGTAAGGAAATATCAAGCGGGAGCCGCGATCCGGTGGTAAATTGCGAGGAAGTCCTAAGCGAGAACGCGATTCTTCAATACATTGTGACGAGGTATCAGGCGGGAGCCGTTGTTCTTGTAAACCGGGGGCCAACAACACAGTGTGACCCTCAAGACTTTCCTTTATAACAAACACCTTTATAAAAAAACAGGGTGCGAGCCCCGGGAAGCGCACTTCAATAGAAAAAACAATGTGCACCGGACGGGGGGGGGGTCAACAGCAATTATTCTTCAGGAGTGAGAGTTGAACAACACCAACAACAAGAGCAGCAAGCAAAATCCTCACCACGGATTCTCACTTCATCCACGCACCCAGGGAAAATGAATGACAGTTCGGCCCCCTCACTCTGATAAAGAATACAAGGGAAATCGTCCCCAGGCTATTTCTTGTCTGTTTGGGAGGGTTCCTCCTGTAGAGGGGCATGCCCGTTTCACCGTAGCCTGTTGCAGGACACGGCCCCTGTGCCGATCGGGGCCCTCCTTCCTCCCTCCTCCCTCAGCCCTTCAGCAGGAAGAGGAGGAGGAAGAGGAGGAGGAAGAGGAGGAGGAGGAGGAGGAGAAGGGAGGAGGGAGGAGACAGAAGGGAGGAGGTGAAATGGAGGAGGGAGCAGGGAGGAAGAGGGACCCGCTGCGGGCGCGCGCGGGGGGCGGCCTCCCCGCCGCCGCAGGGGTCGCGCGGGGCCGCCTCCGTGGCGGCGGCGGCCCCAACGCGCGTGGGATCGGACCGCCACGAGGCGGGCGGCCGCGGGACCTCCGCACGCGCTCGCGCCGGGCACAGTGGGAGGAAAGGGGGGGGGAGGAGGGGGAAGGGGGGGGAGG